CTGCCATGTCCGCCGAACGGAATAACTTGCAACATTCCATCGCCATATTGAATATTTATATGTGTGCAGTATACTTGCGACTGTGTTATACATATGTGTATTAAATACGTGTCTCTTAAAAAGTAAGTAGCTTGCCCTCCTAAAATCTTAATAAAAATATACTCATTTGCTGGATTCACATTGCATCCAATTTTCGTCGTATGACGCTCTGCATCCAATCAGAAAACAGGATTCCGATAATACAAAGCAAAATTTATCGGTTCTGACGCCATATTGCTTTTCTGGCTTCGTAGTTCATTGTACTGTGTTAGATGGCGCTGAAGTCAACGACAAATTTTTTTTTTTTCTATAGGAGTTGATGGACTCTGGTTTATTACGAGAGTACTTTTGGAGAGAATTGCTATCCTTTTAAACGTGAGTAATGGCACATCTTCCCTCAGAACTTGTATCCCATCAGCAGAAAGTATGCAGGCTGTACAAACGCGCTGTACGTTGTGTTGAGGATTGGTATCATAATACACACGACCGCAGGTACGTACATCACCGAGGGTGACATGCTGATTAACTTGTGGCCCGTTCTTTTTCGCTAAATTGTTATTTGTACGTTTAAAGTAAGATAGTCATATACTTGTGTCTCGTAGAGAAAAGGAATGAATTGGTGTAAGTTCATTGCAATTAAGGAGAACAAACCTTTTAATTCAACTGGCGGAATTGTTTAAAGCAAAATAAATGAGAGAAAGAGAGAGAGAGAGAGACTAATGTAATTTATTTATTTGTTAAGTGTTGTATATTCACATCACAGTTTAATATGATATTTCAATATTGTTTAATTCTATTTGTGTTAACGACTAAACACTGCAGATATTACTTAATAAATTAATGTCTATTTCCTTCAATGTAGATTGGTCCTTTTATAATTAAAATTTTTATTACACGCTCGTATAAACTGCTAAGCAATAATAAATTAAAATACAAGGTCTATTATATCAATCGAACAATGTTAAGACGACCGATGAACGATGGTCCTTTTATGCCAGTTTCTATCTGTAATTTAATTTTAATCTTGCTTCAACCAACTCTTCAATTCTTTTTCTAGTTCTGAGAATTAGAAAAAGATGAAAAGTAAATTAAACAGAGATTTAAATTAATCTATATTGGTACAAATAGGAATACTGAACTTCTTGCTTTTCCTTCCATTTTTCTTCATGTTGAAGAAAAAAAGGAGAAAAGATGAACCAAGCAAGAAATTTAGCTAAAAAAATGGGCCTATTAATTTTGATCTCAGTTCAACTTACTCTTCATCTTTTTCTAATTTTTACGATTAGAAAACCAGAAAAAGATGAAGAGCAAGTTGAAGATTAATTAATGGCTATGTTTACACCGTGCATTTAGGCCACGGCCTATAGATGTCTTTATTTATCCTGTAGGTTAAACAAAGACACCTATCGTATAGATAGCGGACTAAGCGCAAGGTGTAAATGTAGTCAATCTTAGTGGAACAGGTATAAAACAATTGATGTTCATCAGTTTAGACCGTTATGGCCAAGATTCCTATTTCCTATTTGATGAATGTCCATTTCTATCAATGTAAATTAACTTTAATTTCAATTTTATTTACTATTGAAATAGCATCCATTGGCATCTTATATTGGTGAATTCGGACCGAAGTTAATTAGAATTTGGTCAAATCACATTGACAGCTTTGAATCGATGCAGTGATTAATGTATCGATTCAAATGGAACAACTAATATTAGACTCTTTAGGAGAAAAACAAAGATAGTACAAAGCACGAAAATAAAAGAAAAAAATTATTTGTTTTTATTATTAATCTTAAATGCTTTTTTAAATATAATATTATAATTTAATAATAATCTTTAAATACAATTAAATTATAATATTGAAATAAAAAACATTCGAGATTAATAATATTATAATAAATTTTGTGTGTGTATAGGTACATGTTCGTGTTACTGGGATTTTACCTACCATAATTATATTTCAATTATAATTTCTTTACAGATACGAGATTGCATTATTGAGAGAGCGTTTTGACAAGAATAAGGATATAAAGGATTTGAGATATGCAAAGTATCTATTGGAGGAAGGAGAGAAGGAGTATTCCTCCCTGATACATTATCAACCAATAACGTTCGCCGAATCGCTCACAGGAGGGGCGTATAACCGAGAGTGTTATATCCCAGACTGGACTTTGGATTATTGGCATCCTCTAGAGAAAGCTATGTATCCCAAATACTTCGCGCGTCGTGAACAAATGAAGGACGAATACGAGAAATGGTACTTCAAAACCTACCCTGAAATGAAGAATAACAAAAGCCACTAAGCACTTGTAAAAAATATATACCTGCAATGGTATTATATAATGTAACAACTCTTGTAGATGATATTGTAATATAATATACATTATATAAGTCTAGAGAACATTATAGAATATCATTCCTATCACAAAACACCTTTGGCCGTGGTTAGATTAGAGATTGAATTGAAATTTAACCAATCGGAAGAAAACCAATTTCAAGTATAATGAATTTTGATTGGTTAAGTTCCAATCTAATCTCAATTTCTAGTCTGATTCTAGCCTGATTACGAGAATCACTGTTTTAAAATCCATCTCTACAGAGCAGCAAGCCATTCGATGCCTTTTAAAACAAAACACTTGCTCGTATATACGATGGATTTTGAACAGTGGTTCTCGTAATCAGCCTAAAATCAGACTAGAAATTGAGATTAGATTGAAACTTAACCAATCAAAATTCATTACACTTGAAATTGGTTTTCTTCTGATTGGTTAAATTTCAATTCAATCTCAATCTCTAAATTTCAATTCAATTCTTAAAAGACTTGCGGATCTGTAGATCCGAGTTCAATCACATCTGCGATTTTTCGCATTTAAGGAGCCGAAAATGGTTGTACTTGGTGATTAAGACACCTGTGATCACCAGCGCTGTTCGGATCCAGTGTTTAAACTGTAGGTTCATTATATCAGTAGATATGCGTCATTCTGACATGTTAGGAATCGGATATTTGGCTAACAAAATAATTCCGGAAAAATCATTGTTTCGAAACCTCATCTAAAGGAGGCTCGGTTTGGACCGTAGTGCCATTGGATGGATGGTTTTTCGTTTCATTATGTATTATGTTTATTATTTAATTAGAGTACATAGTAAGCAACCTAGCATACTTCTATTTATAATTTAATCCATTATATATTCAACATATGTAATACTAACGCAGTACAAAGTAACATACGTAGCTCGAAACTTGTCTAAAATCTTTTTCTAACATGCGGATACAATAAGAAATTCTTGCGCTTGGACGTTTGTAATTTCGAATGCTATCTCCGTGTAACAAAACGGGCGAAGCGTATTGTCAATTTGTCTACGAAAAAGACGAGATACCATTCGTGAAATCAAGGATCGGCGATATTTTTGTTTATCAAATTGAATACATTACTTTAGCAGCAAATTTCTTTTTGTTGCTGAAGTATATGAATTCAATTGTGTTATAACATAAATATGAATTGTCTTAATAAATAAATATGTATAATTCGGATATTTACGATCGAAGATTACACAATACATATGTTGCTGTAACAGCGATGATTTAGTGAACTAAATCTAAGGTTGCCCAATGGGTTTATATTGTCCTGCATTACCCATGGATATTCATTTAGCGCGATTCAATTGACATCTTTGCATAAAATTAAATTTCCATTCTTATTTATCTTTAAAATATTGCGAACAAGATCTAATGTTCGGAAAATTCAGAATGTAGGAAATTTTTACATCTAATTTGCAAATAAGAATTGGTTATACATCGTAAAATATTACATAAATGCCGCAGAAATTTTTTGTCATTTCTGCAATTTCATCATCTTTAAAAACATTTTTATATACCAATTACTTATGATAAAAGTTATGAATTGTAATAGGTGTATATATATATATAGCATTTTTTAATGTATTATATATATATATTATATATATAAATAAAATATATGAACAAAATATATATAAAGAAAATATATGAACAAATGTTTTTACCTATGTTACAATTCTTTAACATTGATAGATTCGATTTCGGAAGCGACGTTCGGAAATGGAACTAAGTAAAAAAAAGTGTAGAACCACGCTATATATATTGTGCTCTTATAGAAGGATTCGTGCGCTAGAAGTCATTTATGACATGATGTTATTTACTTATCTTTTATGAAATTTCAGAGTTTATTACTCGCAGTAAATTAACAACCGTAACTAGATAAAACTAAATGTTCCTTTATGAATATAATTTTTAGTTGCTCAGCTTATATCTTCGACGTATTCAATTCGTACAATTTTCTTAATGATCACATCAAAATCTTCAATGAGGCAAGATTATACATAAAAAATATAATGAACTGATCACTTAAAGATCGCAATGTAATTACATCGTTCCTAGTTTCTCGTCTATCTTCATCTTTTTCTGTGACTTCCTATTAGTTAGGACATAATGCCTCTTTCAACTTCTACCAGGGGAGCCTATCTCCCACCTTGGACGTGTTCACGAATGTAATGTTGCGCTTCTATCCTTGGTCTCATCAGAATCAGAATTAAAATTGATCATGTGACGTGAATTGAACGCTACAAGGCACGGGTAAAACCAGCTAGCTTTGGCCAGTGGGATAGTGAGTGATAATGAGCACCTGAGTGTTATTGAACGACCTAAATAAGCCTTTTGGAAGAGGATAAATATGTATACATATATATGAATTAATTGTAAATCTGACTGGTGACGTAATGCGGCCATGTTTTGATCTTTCGTAATTTGTTAAACTTTTGATTGTAAATTATGCTGAAGGTGGCTTAAATTTAGAGCCGAAACGTTCAACTTATATTTTATTTATTAATTTAAAATTGACATCATTTGTTGATTTGCGCACTATTCGCGCGGACTCCTATAGCTTATGTTTTTGTTATTTATTGCATATTTATTAATCTATATGTACTAATTATATCATTAAAATAGTAGTAATGTACTAACCTTATGTCTTCAAGGCGCTGAAGCTTATTGAAAAAGTATACTAAAATATTCACGAAAAGTTGAACTGAATTGTATCAAGATCAAGGTACTAATCTGCAAATCGAGCAGGATAGAATGCATGTATTATATTTATATGTCTTATTGCTTGAATATATTATCAATATGTTTAAGTTGTGCGATGCATTCTTATATTTCTGGATTACATGCATGAAAATATAATATTTTAAATATAGATATTTATCATTATTTTTTAGACAATATACTTCATAGTGTATATCTTGCTTTTTATTAGTACAGTTATTAATGTGACATTGTGCATAAATAACATTCCCTGATAGCATCGTGTCTGACAAACACGTCACTACGATGTTACTAACTTCTTAGCGACTTGCTTGTGATGTCTGTGTAGGCAGAATTTGTTTAATAGTTATTGTACTATAGCTTTAAAAATCTCTTCTTTTATAGTGCATGTCTAAAAGAAATAACATGCTTTATTGTGTGTGTATGTCCATAATCAAATAAAATGCTTATTTTATATTCTCATTCTAATTTTATCTTTCAAAATGTAATAGGGACATCTCCAGTACGAGATAAAACAGAAGGCTTTAACTCTGACGCTGTATAAAACGATAGGGAAGCGTGCTTACACGTGTTTACGAGAAGTTTTTCCTGATATTCCATGCATATAAACTTTACAGTTGATGCTTCAAAAGATACCTTTAGCCCCGGGTTTGAACTCTTTGATTTTGCGATATTTGAAGAGCTTGTCTCGAAAAATATCAAACAAAGATAAAGTAATGTGGGATGATATTTCAATTCAATCAAATGTCACATATGATAATCGAAAGGATATCATGTGGCTTTGAAGATTGGGGCAACAAGCGTACTAATAAACCTGCAGATCACGTATTGGTTTTTATACTGCGTGGTTTAAACACAGATTGGAAGATGATTATCTCGTATAACTTTTGCGCGAAAGCGACAAAACATATACAATTAATATGCTGCATTAAGGAACATGTGCATGCAATATATGAAGCAGGCTTCCATATCGTAGCGACTGTCTGGGATCTCCAAATGTCTCTGCAATGAAGCAATTACTACTGCAGACAGAAATGGAGCGCCATTTAGAAGGAAAAATATAAGGTAAGTAATATCCATTTATAAATGTAGTAATAAGTAGTACACATAACGCACAAATATCTTATGAAATGAATATTTAATTTGCAGCTCCAACTTACAAGATCGGAAACTACGGTTTATTAATGAAAAATTAGCAAATACGAAAATAACATTCCGAGTCGTATAGCATCATAGGATGTTATCAAAACAGTGTGGATCATGGATAGGAAGATTAATACTATTCGGCCATAACTGAAGAAAATTATTAAGAAGCATGTAATTGAGAACAAAATAAAAAAGATGCGTGTTAAATACGCAACACAAGTCTTAAGTGGAACGATAGTGAGCTATATTGAGACTTTTGCAAGATTAAAATGTAAATAGTAATATCATAATTGTAATAAAAAAGTATACACATGCATATCATTTTAACTGAATATATTGAGAATAAAATTATTTTATTTAAAACAGGTGTGGCAACAATGGAGGACAATAGCATGATTCAAATAGATAAAAAAGATGGTATTGCAACAGCGGAAATTGTTAATTTTTGTAATGATCTGTTCGACTCAGTAAACGGTATTGCGACTAGTGATATTGAATTACGATGTGAAGTAACTGCGAATAGTGCACACCATGCATTTTGGACAAACGCAAAACACGTACTAAGAAATATGTTATATAGACAAAGCTACGCGAAAAATTATTAAAATAGTCCTACATTAAAAAATTGGCTCTTTACCGTGAAAGGTTTCGAAAAATTGTGGGAGATATTGAAATGTAAGTATGATTTTATGAGTCTGAAAGCGCGTTGTTTTAATCAGAACCCAATAGAGAACTTTTTCGGTGAGGAGTCATGCTGTTAGAAATATGAATCCAATACCTCGGCAATTTGAAGACTCATTCATAACTTTATTAGGGAACAACATGAAGTTTATTAAGATTGTTGATGGTAACTGCGAAGTCGATGAAGATTCTTTCATGCTGCGTTTATTGGAAAAATATTTAGAATTTGAACCTGAACCTGAGTTTTAAACTGCCGAGGTGTATAACATTAGCGAAAACAACGATGACGAGAAATCGCTTGAAATGGAACAAGTAGATGCTCACAATTCATTTTATTAATCATGATGATAAACATTATTAGCGCTATTAAAAAACGGTTTAACAATTACGAAGAATGCGAGAGTAGTCTTAGAAATAATAGCTGTTTTTTAATTTGTATGAGGCAAGTTATATATAGATTATTTTGAAATTGTTACAGACGCGAAGCTATCAATGTAATATTCTCAAAGTGTTACTACAACACTTTGAGAATTAGACAATAAACATGGATCGGAATGCGTAGAGCATTGTGCCAACATGTTTATGACGACGGTTCGCGTAATTACTGTTAAAATATATAATAAGTATGGTGGTGTAATAAACAAAATTTCTTAATGCGTAATGTGGATGACGATAATAATGTTTATTTATATTATACAAATATTAATCAAATAAAGAAAGCGCATGAAACATACAAAGCTAATAAATGTGAAAGGAAAACTTTGGTAAACGAATATAAATTATCTGTAATAGAAAGAAATGAATAATTAAGCGAGCAAGAAAGAGAGAGAGAGAGAGAGAGAGAGAGAGAGAGAGAGAGAGAGAGAGAGCGAGCGAGCGAGATTCGCATTTCTATGCATTTGAGTAACCCGCCCTACGTCACATGATCCTTTTTAGTTTGTCTTCAAGTGAAATCAAAGGTAGAGGCGCTGAAAATCGTGACCATTTTTTCAAGATAGGAGATAGATCCCCCTGGCTTCTGCCCTCTATCTTCCATTTTTTCGTTTTCTTCAAACTTTTCTATCTCAATGATATCGTCTCGTTATTATATAGATCGGAAGTTCATTACATGATTAGGACTAACTGGTGGGCGGAGGTGGCGGAGGTGGTTGCGCCAGTAATGTCGGCAGCGTATTCAGGTCAATCCCGGGTGGCGCAGGAGTTTGTTGTTGAGGTGGAGGTGGAACAGGTGCAGCTGGTGGCCAGCCGCCCATCTGTTGTGGTTGCCAGCCACCGGGGAATCCCGGAGGCGGTGCCGTGCCCGGTGGTGGCGGCCGCATCGGTCCCTGCTGACCCTGCTGCCACGGCGGTATGCCCATCCCGGGCGGAGGAATCTGTGTGGGCGGCATTTGCCCTGGCGGCGGTGGTTGATTGTTACCTGTCATCCACGGCATTAACGGTGGAATGTTGGGCTGCGTAGTG